CAGCAGGAAGCCATTGGAGAGTTTCACTACAACCTGCCTTAAGGGTTAAGAGGATCTCACTTGCACTTGTGTTGGGAATTGACAAAAGTGGAAGCTGGGAGGTCAGTTCATTGAAGACTACAGTTGTTGAGACGAGAAATGCTGGTGGCCCAGACCGCAGTGGTGGCAATAGAGGTGATGGGAAGTGGTCAGATGCAGGACAGATTCTGGAGGCAGAACCAGAAGGCTTGCTCCTACCTTGGACCTGGGCTGAGGGAAGGGATTCAAGACAGTCAGTGTCAGGTATGGGGTTGCTGTCACCTGATGGTGAAGGATATGGGTGGAAGGTGGGCTGGGGGAGAAGCAGGACATAAGAAATTTAGACGTGCAAAGTTTGACACATCTGTTAGACACCCAAGTGGAGCTGTGAAGCAGACAGCTGCATTTATGAGCACAGAGTATAAACTCAGAAGTCACTGGCATATACTTATGAGACTTGCAATGTCTATTGCTCAGTAATCTGGTTTTTGTGTACGAAAAGCCAAAAATGGGTATTAAGTATACAAAACTTTTTAAATTATAAATGAATGGACAGACTACATTTTCCAGAACTATCTTGAACCCCACTGGTTCCCTAATGCTTTTCTCAAGCCTCATCTGCTCCAGCTGGAAAGTTTTTCATGGTCTCAGTGAAAGCTAAGTTGGGGAAATAACCACTCCGAACATTCTTGACGAAAACTCCAGGCAGTCTTTTTGTTCTTCCTAATGCCAGTGGAGAGAACTTGTGGTTAGCAGAAACTGTGCTGGCTAGGATGTTTGAAGCTGGGCTCTGGTTTACGTTCTCAGAAATGTCCATCTTTGGCCGTCTGACTGGCACAATCTCCCAACATCTTGACAAATTCTTTCCCTTCTTCGAAGCAGCTTCTTTGGCCTTTAAAGAGAAATGTTTTGGGGCGCCTGGGTGGCACAGTCAGTTAAACGTCCGACTACAGCCAGGTCACGATCTCGTGGTCCGTGAGTTCGAGCCCCGCGTCAGGCTCTGGGCTGATGGCTCAGAGTCTGGAGCCTGTTTCCGATTCTGTGTCTCCCTCTCTCTCTGCACCCCCCCCCCCGTTCATGCTCTGTCTCTCTCTGTCCCCAAAATAAATAAAAGTTGAAAAAAAATTAATAAAATAAAGAGAAATGTTTTGTTCTCTCGTATATCCTTATGAACAACCTGCCACACCAGAAAACAACAGCAGTGAAGCAAGAACCATGCACTCCCACAGGCTGGGTGGTGGCCACTAGAGAGGTCCATGGACCAGTCTGGAGGACTTTTCTTCCCACTTCACCTCTGCCCTCACTTGTCCACAGCCCCAACCAGCAATGATCTTTCTCTTTCAGAACAAGTTTTGATTTGGGGGAAAATTACAAATTCTCACTTAAATCTCATTATAATTTTTGTCCATATTCTATTTTTTTCCCTCTCCTTCCATTTCTCACTCTCATCTGCCTTTCCTTCAACTCTTTCTGTCCTCACCCTTCAGCCCATGCATTCTCTGTTTTGATAAAGAAGCAAATAGCTTCCAGTGGGTCTTTCCCACTCTCTAAGTCCTTGCTGACACACATCCCTGCATTTGCTTGTTTGGGCTCCTGGACAGGACAAAGGCAAGTGTCACACTCATGCTGACGGCTTTGTTAAACCAGTGTACACCAAGAGAAAGCACATCCATCCAAATCCAGTTGCCTATGAAGTATCATTAGAATTTGAGGAGATAGGAATTCAGAGTGATTATCTCCTAACAATTTGAATTGAGGGCTTTACATCTAAGATAGTGATGGACGCTCACCCTTAGTGGGCCCTTCTCACTTTGGTAGCACCTCCACTGTTCTCTTTCTGGGTCATGCCTTCAGTGCTCAGTTTATGGCAAGTAGGGAGAAAAAGAAACAAAGCACAAGTTAAAATGAATGGATTAAAGAATGTGGAAATTATACTCATAAAACTGCCCTTGTTAAATAAGCAAATTGGGGTTATGCATCTTTTATTTTGAGTGTCAGCTTTACAGATGAGTTATTCTAATCATAGTATGCATTGAACCAAAATGAACCAAGCTACAAGCATCCATTCATTTTTTTTTTCTCATTCTAGGAATATTAGGTTTTTTTTCTTACCAAAGTACTCTTTTCCCTTTCAGAAATATATCATTTTTTAAAGTGACCATAAGCAATGAATTTCTATCCTACCCTTTCACTGGCAAATGGAGTTTATTAACACTGCAACATGAAGTCTGTGTGAAGCTTATTAAAGATGTGTTCAAAGTGCCCACATATTTCTTACCATTTTCCCCCAGGCCTCTCCTACTACATGCCAGACTGAATTTGGCAATCTTGAGTTTTAAAATATTTTAACGTATAGAATAGAGGGAAAACAAGGGTTTTCATTTGTTTTTGTACTCATAGAGTGCTGTTTTACAAAAGGTAAAATTCTGTTAGTTGAAAGTCATGGAATCCCAGCTCAAGCCAGCCTGAATGGAATAGGGCTTTTTCTAGAATGATCTTGGGTTATCTCACAGCACCTGATACAGATTAAAACAGGCAGCCCTCAGAAGTTCAGGGGTGCAGCCAAATCTTGGAATAACCAAAACCAGCCACACAAGTACTGTCAGAACTCTCGGTCTTTCTGCTGCATTCTGCACCCCAGTATTCTATCTCTGTCTCTCTCTCTCCCTGCCCACAAGCTTTCTTCCTGTGGATGAAAACATGGCCCCTGAGAACTTCTGAGTATTCTATAGTGTCAGACGTTAAAAGAGGCCGATGTGGACCTTCTTGGTACTGAAACCAAGAGAACTATAGGATTAAGTACCTCACCACCTGGCTCTGTTCTGCTTTCCATCTTTAAAGCAATTAACTATATGCTGGGGGAAGAAGGGGAGCGCGTGTGTGTGTATGTGTGTGCGTGTTTGGCATTGGGACAAGGGGAGTGGAATGGAGTTGGATAGGGGTAAAGAGAGGTTGTGTAACAACTTGACAGTTCCAGTGGGGAAAATGATGGAGAAAATGCCCTGCAGGAGCAGCGTGATCCAGAAGCAGGGAGGTGCTGGGATGTAAGAGAAGACAGGGGTAGGGTAGGTGGGCTTTCACAGGCTAGCCCCACAGACTCTCCATCAGGGTACACCCTGGGGCAGACATCTTTGCTTGGAATATGTGGATGTGGACACTGATGCCTCAAGTTTCTGTAACTCCCCACAACTCAAGGCTAGTAGGAGGCGGGGACTTTGGTCCATATCAGTGACAAGCCTGTTTCTTTCCCTTCGACCAAGACTAAGAGCTGGGAATGGGAGTCAAGAGGAAGGATGTAATCTGGAGTAGGGAAGGGACCACTTGTTTTTGCTTATGTGTTGATTGCTTGGTTTCTGTGAACACGTTCCATAGAAAAATCACTGGTTCCTCTTTCCCCTCCCCCCTTCTGTTCTTTAAGCCACAGTTAGATACTATGGAGTTACCAATATGCTTTCCCCAGACATTAAGCCCTGTCAGCACAATTGTACGTTTGCTGTGCTGAGCGGAAAATTTCTAATAATACGTCTGAACATATGCAGGAATATTAGTTTCTGGGCTTTGAAACAATCATTGCTGGAGGGTTTTCTACCTATATAGGACACTTAGGATAAATCATCTTACTTTTGCTTGCCTCATATTCCCAGAGGCTACATAATGAACCCTTTTATTGTATTAGACCACTTCTGTAACTTCCTTACTCATACCCTCTCCCCCTTTAAATTCATGGTATTTTTTATATTTCAAGATTATTTTCAAGAGTTCCCGTATTTATCACTGCTTTTACTCTTAATTATATTCATTATTAATATTGAGCATTCACCAGGTTATTTCTGTCACAACCATTCCTGTGCTGTAGAGATTTTGAGTTGTGTGTGTAAGAAGTGAAGAGAATTAATTGCCCCAAGACATCATGCAGCAAATGCCTGAGCTGGGATTCGAACTCAGATATAAGTGACCCTAAAGCCCATGATCTCTGTCCAGAAGATATGAACCTTTGCCTTCACTCCCATTAATTCAAGTGGTGCTTGAAGTCTGTCCTTCCTATCATTTTTGTGATATAACGTGTTCATTTTACTTTGTTGTGGCCATGCTTAATATCTTGAATTTTCACTTACTCCAGTCTCAGTTTGTTATAATCCTTTTTGCTAAGCATTTGCAGTAGCTTTATGATAGCCCATTAATTTTATGTACTAAAAATTCCCTAAGAAGTTTTCTAATGTTGGACATCTACATTGATTCATCATGGCTGCCTTGTGAATGATGTTAATTAGCATGCATAGTCTTTATATTTTGAAATATATTCTTAAGATAGAGCCATTTAAGTATGATCGCTGGGTCAAATTATATGAATGCTTCAGAGAATTTTTAATGTGTGTGGTGAAAATGTTTTTCAGAATAGTCGTACTGTTTTCATCATAAGTAGTAAAGGCCTCGTTTTAAGGGTGGGTTGGCATTTTTTGAAATGATAAAGCTTCCTTGCATGTTAAATGAGCAGGTAACATCTTTTTAAATTTCATGTGTAGTTTAAAATAGATTCCTGGCCATCACCCAGAAGAGAATCATGAGGACAGTGACCTCAATTATCTGCCCCTTTTCCCTTCCCTTTAAAAATGCAAAACCTTTCCAAAATGCAAAATTGCAATCTTTGTACATTTTGTTCGATGGTAAATGAAAAATCTTACAGATCCTGACCACTTCAAATTAACTTTAAGTCAATGGCAATTTGCCCCAATGTTGAAATGCTTCATGTAATTGCCTAAATCAGCTGTGAGCATTTCATCTCACAGTAGTGCTGGACAGACCTGCGTCTTGCAGTTAAGCCAAGGAATTGTTTTGCTGTTACTCAAGTCTGACTTAGTATAGACATACAGAAGATCAGATTCTTCTATCAGTCCATGTAGTTGGGTATCAGACATTTTTGTGTTTTCCCTTCATGTCAAATGAGTTGGTTTATTTTGTTTGCTTTTGCTTTGTTTCCTTAGGTGTTTGCCAAACTACTGTGAACATGGAGGAGGCTGCTCCCAGTCCTGGACTAGCTTCTCCTGTAACTGCAGTAACACGGGTTACAGTGGCGCCACCTGCCATAACTGTGAGTGGTCCTGACTTACCCACAGAATGGGCACACCTCCAGGAGTGCCAGTGCTGACTTCAGGTTGCGCTCAACGTGGGGCAGGCTCTTTGGGTTCATTCATTCAACACGTGTTTCTTGGTGGCCATGTGGGATACATATAGGACTATAAGCCATATCCTCAGAGAGTTTGTGGCCTGCCAGGAACACAGATAGGAAAGGGAATAAGTGTTGGAGGCAGAGGAGAGACTATGTGCCCTAGGCTCACCAAGGGGAGCTATTAGGTCAAGGGTGTTGTCTGGATGGGCTTGGTTAGGCTACTGTAATAAACAACTTCACCTGTCAGTGGCTTAAGTAACCAGTGGTTGTGTCATACCTGTGTTACATGCTTATGTCACATTGGCAGGGGCCCTCTTCCACTTTGTCCTCATTCTGGGATACTGGCGGTGCTCTGACACCCAGGAGGTTGCTGTGGCAGAGAGAAGAATGAGAAAGCATACACTGGCCGTTGAAAGTTTCCCCCTGGGAGTGGTAAACATCACGTCCAGTCACATTCTATTGGCCAAGGAAAGTCACAAGGGCGCACCTCAATTCAAAAGTTGCAGTCTTGCTGTGGGATCAGAGAGAACCAGCATCTAGATGATAACTTCCGATGATGGCATGTTGGTGTTAAGGAGGGTTCAAATAGAAGGCCTGAGTTGATCTTTGGTAAGAGTGTGGCAGAGAAAGAAAAGAAAAAGGAGACTGAATGTGTGAGTGAATTGACGTGGCTGGAGAGTGCTGATAGAAGTAAGAGAGGAAGAAGTAAGAGAGGAAGCAGGGTGAGTGAGGGAGGCTGGAGCACACAAGGAATAAGGGGTGATGAGTAAAAAAATAAATGACTAGCCGGGGCCCCGATTACTGTAATTTTATAGTCTCGTTGGGGTCACCAAACAAAAACACACGACAAAATAGAGGTTTGCCATTTACAGAATTGTGTGTCAAACTGTGTGAAGTGAGCTGTAAGGATAATTTAGAAAGACACAATCTGAAGGTGCTGGCTATAGTTGTGGGAGATTTCATCGAAAATGTGAGCTGTGAAATTGACTTCGACGGTAGAGAGGTAGGAGGTGGAACTGTTAGAAAAATGTAAGAACCGAGCCAGGGGGCTGCTGAGGACTACGGTGAGGCCCAGCAGGGGTGAACCTCACCAGGGTTTCCTAAGTTCCTGCTGTTGCCAGGATGGCACCTAGAGATTCAGAAAGCAAATGGGATATACCGGCAGTGCTGAGATCAGACTCTGATGCAGGGGGCACTGTCGTTGCTGTCAGCCCTGAAGACCTCTCAGCCATTCAGCAAGCCTTTCTGTGCCTTGCAAGGTAGCATTTACCAGTGATGCCCCGTCGCATCAGAGATGACACAGCCCAAAGGTCATCATGGATGATGTTACTATTTTTTTGGATGCCTGTGGAAATGAAAAATACCACCTGGCTAAAACCCTGCCTGGCTTTATAATGAAGTGTATTATCGGGGCACCTGGGTAGCTCAGTTGGTTGAGTGTCCGACTTCGACTCAAGTCATGATCCCAGGTTCATGGGATCAAACCCCACGTTAAGACAGTAGAACGTGCTTGGCATTCTCTCTCTCTCTCTCTGTCTCTGTCTCTCCCTCTCCCCTTCTCTGTCTCTTTCCCCTGCTTGTGCACATGCTCCCTATCTAAAATAGAACTAAAAAATATTTTTTTATTTTAAAAATATAATGAAATATATTATTTAAAATTTTCTATTTAGAAATTTGGAACACAGTGAAGGGAACACTGGACTAAGAGAGATTAAATTTGGATTTTACCTAGCTCTTGTACTTGAATAAGCGTATCATTGTGTCACTCCAAAGCTGTTTCTTCACAGACTCTATACTAATGAAATCTTGTGGGCCCTTTTAAGGCTAAAATTACATGTTTTGTTTAAGATTCCTAGTAAATACCAACCTATGAGTGTTGAGCCTAATTCCAGAGATATCATCCTTAAGTAGCCAAGAACAGTGTTTATTTGCATAGACATGTATAGTACTGTCTGGATTCTAGATTGTCACATCAGTGCTCTTGTGAGATGCTCAGTGACCACCAGAAGAGCCATCAATGTAATAGTGAGAACCTTGAAGAAAATTTAAGTCAAAGATGCCCAAATTTTGGCAAAATCACATGACAACATTTCTATGAGTTTTTATAGCTTATTCCATTCACTTTCTCCTAATTTAACACTATGTTGAGGAGTTCATCTCTATGGATACTCTTCTTCTTTAATTTTCTCCATCCATCAGGCTAAAAATAGAATATTTCCAGCTTTTAAAAAAGTGTGAAGTTGAAAATCAATGGAGGTGAGGTGCTGATTTTTAATGGAACGCTATCCCAGCTGATGAGCAGGAGACTCAACACACAAAGCCTTAAAAATACCATTCTGTTTTTATAACACCTTCTATTCCCCTTGCTGTGAAATTGCTCAGTGCTCTATGATAGGTTGCCACACTGTTAGGCTCTTTCTTCCCTTCTGGGCACCCAGCCAGGAGAAATCAGGTCCTTGGATGGTTGTGAGGGCTGGCAAACACACCTGGTATGCCTGTGCAGTTCAAGAATTTGTCATCCTCTAACTGATTTCTTCCCCTTCCCCAGTTGGGTGAGGACCATTGTTTTGAGTCAGATTTGTAAATTGAGTGACCCAAGGCATGCTTTCCTGCCTGCAAAAAGCCTGTCCTTCCAAGCCTCCTGCACTGCCCCCCGCATGGGGCATCAGAGATGAAAGTTGCCAAAATGCAGAAGACAATACATAGGTCCCTAGGCCCCTTGGCCCTCCATCACGTAAGAAAACTACCAAAGGGGTTATAGGGCTTCTGATCCCTTAAAGCTCACAGGTAGCAGGCTCGGTGGTATTTGAGGACACCCTCAGATTGAAACAACCCAAGCAAGTTCACAGCCCCACTCCTGTGGAAATGGCAATGTCTTTGGTGTGTTGGGGCCTGTGTTCTTGAAGCAGTCATCCACACAACATTATATACAGTCTTCAGATTTGTAAGACAGTTCATATTACTCAAAACTGATAATTTCTTGAGTATTCTTAATCCTTTGTTTCTTCAAGCTCTTCAAGGTGTTTTAATTTTTCATTATGGTGCTTCTTAGTGAATGTAAACCAACAGGGCTGAGGACAGGTAGGGTTAACTTCTTTCTTCCAGCTTTTGTGGATAAGAGAGGAGTCTGGGTAAAGGGGAGGGTATTATGGACTCTAAGAAATAGCACAATGGGAACCCCAATGTGTTTAGGCAGAGCAGGTTGCTGGTAAAAGTAGATCTATCATCATTCCATTTCAATTTTCCTTCCACCTTACCTGATGACACATAAAGAAGTTGGGCATACAAGTTACATTTCTTTTCAAATACACTTTGTTCAAAACCACCTGTTGAAGAAGGAGGTGGTGAGCATGTGGGGAATTCCTGTCTCCAGATAGCGAAGATATGTGAGTCTCTCACTTATCCCATGAGCTGTCATTGAGCCCTATTGTGTCGTGTCTGTAAGTTGTTTTGGTTAGGAGCCGCCTTCTCTGCATTGTATTCTGTTCTCCAGAGGAATAACTGAAGGTATACCAATGTTTGCAATCCACACAACCCCTGGCAACCCAACCAATGAGCAGAGCCTTCAGACCACCAGAGATAGTCACCCGTGTTCTTGGTTTGATGCAACGTGCAGGTTTAGAAGGTTATGTAGTTAAAGCCAAACTTCTAAACAGGTACAGTATATCTTGGTCATGCTATCCTATGAGTGCAAGTTAATATTAAAAGGAAGAGGTTTTGATTATGGGAGTTCAATGCATAATTAGTCTACCATGTAATGATAAAGTCATATGGTATTACTATCTCCATTTTATAGAGCATCACATGGCAACCCAGAAAAGTTACATACCTTCCTCAAGATCACACAGCTAGTGGAGCTGGGACTTGAATGAATGGAATCTGGCTTCAGATGCCAGACACATTTTAAGCTTTGTGTTTTATTTCCTTTCTTAAACACATAAGACATTTGCAAACCTCTCTATGTGAACTTAATGGTGAGGCATCCATGACTTCCTTCATATTGCTTGAGACACACTGGGATATTGTGATACGTGATTGAAAATGTAGAAGACTGCGAGATGAAGATGTTTTTGCATTCTAGAATAATCGTGCAGTCATCATGGAAGAAAGTAGGATGAATTAGCACTTGAAAGACAGCAAAAATTAAAATGAATGTAAGAAATAGGAAAGCTTATGGAAACAGGCAAGAGCCAAGACGTGATGGTAGGAATATCTATGCTATACTTTGGAACACTGCATATATTTCCCTGGCTCCAGAAAGGAAAGATAAATAGCTCCATTCATTCCCAAAGCCCAAATGATATTCCTATAAAGCAGTTTTCCCTAGGGGAAATCTGAGCTCATTCCCATTATAACCAAACCTTTTTATGTGCTATTGCAATATCTATAAATACCACTTTAATGATTACATAATAAATAGCCCATTTAATGACTTTTATTCAAACATTGTCATCTATTTTTTTTGGGGGGGTGGAGAGGACCTGTGTTGTTTCCAAATATTTATTATTATAACCAACTGTAGTGAACATGTGTGTGCTTAAGTAATTTTTAAATCCCTCATAGTCTATTGTTTCCTTAGGATGTCTTAGTAGTGGTATTACTGAGTCAAAGACCATGAATAGTCCCAAGGATCTTGATTCATATTTTCAGCTTGTTTTCCTAAAGTCTGGCTACAGTTTGTACTCTGATTATTATTTTCTGATACCTTGTTTTGCCTTCTCTGCCAGAATTGTTTGCTGCAACTTAAAAAAAAAAAAAAAACCTCTTCCACTTGCATTTTTACTAAAACATTTGAATATTGAAATGGAAATTATTATTGACCTTCATGGTGAGTTCCAGATAAAGAAAACGGTTGAGGTATTTATTTATTTTTATTTTTTTAGATGACTTATACAATAAGAATAAAACTGTCTCTCTCTGTA